TGGGCCGGCCCGGGGGCCGCCTACCCGCGTGTCCATGGTCAGCGCCCCGCGGCGCACGGCACTCGAGAAATCGGCTCGTTGTGGGCAGGCCTCTTGTTATAGCGCATGGCCCCAGGGCGTGGGCCCCGTCACACGGGCCTTGTCGCATGGCGCCAGGGACCGGGTACGATCACAGGCGCTATCACATGCTTATTACGCAGGCACGTGGCCATATACGAGGACTGCTGCCCCTGATGCCCATGCTATAGCATGGGCCATATTGCTGTCCTGCAGGCCAGCTAATGCAGTCACTACCGCCTGGGCCGTATGGCTGTATATTGGCACGTCATGCAGGCCAGCTAATGCAGTCACTACCGCCTGGGCCGTATGGCTGTATATTGGCACGTCATGCAGGCCAGCTAATGCAGTCACTACCGCCTGGGCCGTATGGCTGTATATTGGCACGTCATGCAGGCCAGCTAATGCAGTCACTACCGCCTGGGCCGTATGGCTGTATATTGGCACGTCATGCAGGCCAGCTAATGCAGTCACTACCGCCTGGGCCGTATGGCTGTATATTGGCACGTCATGCAGGCCAGCTAATGCAGTCACTACCGCCTGGGCCGTATGGCTGTATATTGGCACGTCATGCAGGCCAGCTAATGCAGTCACTACCGCCTGGGCCGTATGGCTGTATATTGGCACGTCATGCAGGCCAGCTAATGCAGTCACTACCGCCTGGGCCGTATGGCTGTATATTGGCACGTCATGCAGGCCAGCTAATGCAGTCACTACCGCCTGGGCCGTATGGCTGTATATTGGCACGTCATGCAGGCCAGCTAATGCAGTCACTACCGCCTGGGCCGTATGGCTGTATATGGGCACGTCACGCAGGCCATCTAATGCAGTCAATACTGCCTGGGCCGTATGGCTGTATATTGGCACGTCATGCAGGCCAGCTAATGCAGTCACTACCGCCTGGGCCGTATGGCTGTATATGGGCACGTCACGCAGGCCATCTAATGCAGTCAATACTGCCTGGGCCGTATGGCTGTATATTGGCACGTCATGCAGGCCAGCTAATGCAGTCACTACCGCCTGGGCCGTATGGCTGTATATGGGCACGTCACGCAGGCCATCTAATGCAGTCAATATCGCCTGGGCCATATGGCTGTATATTGGCACGTCACGCAGGCCATCTAATGCAGTCAATACTGCCTGGGCCGTATGGCTGTATATTGGCACGTCACACAGGCCAGCTAATGCAGTCACTACCGCCTGGGCCGTATGGCTGTATATGGGCACGTCACGCAGGCCAGCTAATGCATTCACTACCGCCTGGGCCGTATGGCTGTATATGGGCACGTCACGCAGGCCATCTAATGCAGTCAATACTGCCTGGGCCGTATGGCTGTAACATGATCAGTGGCACATGGCCCTGGCATGCTCCTTATTTCACAGGTACTCTGGTAAGCTGCTGGTCCCTATTGTGGTATATGGTCATGGTAACACTAACACGAGCCCTGCCCCCTCCCACCATCTCATGCCAGGGCTAGCGTGGAAGAGAGGCTCCCACAGACCCTGGTTCAGATACCTCTGCCAAGCCGCACTGCCCCAGCCCACCCCAGCCCTGCCCGGGCCCCACACCGGGGCGTTTAGGAATCATGCGGTGAAGGGAGGGATGGTGGAGGAGGATCAGTAGCACAGCTGGGAAGAGGGGGCTGGTGCAGAAGAGGAATGGGGAGGTGGAGTGAGGGACCGGAGGGAGTTGGGGGTGGGGCTGCAAGGAAGGAAGGGGATTCGTGAGGGATGCGCTGGGGTTTCCACCTTGTCTGAGTCGGGTAAAAGGGGGATCACAGAGGCTCCTTTGTCCCCCCCCCAACTCCACCCAGGAATCCCAAGGCCCAAACCTGGCCACTCAGCTCCATGGTGGGCGAAGGCCCCCTCGCCCGATGCAGCCAGCTCTGGGGTGGGGCACAGGGGCTGTGTATACAGGAACACCTCGCCTGGCCTTTGAATGCACCCAGCTCTGGGGTGGGGCGTGGGGGCTGTAACAGGGACCCCTCACCCGGCACTGGGATGCAGCCAGCTCTGGGGTGGGGCACAGGGACTGTGTATATAGGGACCCCTCGTCCGGCGCTGGGATGCAGCCAGCTCTGGGGTGGGGCACAGGGACTGTGTATATAGGGACCCCTCGTCCGGCGCTGGGATGCAGCCAGCTCTGGGGTGGGGCACAGGGACTGTGTATATAGGGACCCCTCGTCCGGCGCTGGGATGCAGCCAGCTCTGGGGTGGGGCACAGGGACTGTGTATATAGGGACCCCTCGTCCGGCGCTGGGATGCAGCCAGCTCTGGGGTGGGGCACAGGGACTGTGTATATAGGGACCCCTCGTCCGGCGCTGGGATGCAGCCAGCTCTGGGGTGGGGCACAGGGACTGTGTATATAGGGACCCCTCGTCCGGCGCTGGGATGCAGCCAGCTCTGGGGTGGGGCACAGGGACTGTGTATATAGGGACCCCTCGTCCGGCGCTGGGATGCAGCCAGCTCTGGGGTGGGGCACAGGGACTGTGTATATAGGGACCCCTCGTCCGGCGCTGGGATGCAGCCAGCTCTGGGGTGGGGCACAGGGACTGTGTATATAGGGACCCCTCGTCCGGCGCTGGGATGCAGCCAGCTCTGGGGTGGGGCACAGGGACTGTGTATATAGGGACCCCTCGTCCGGCGCTGGGATGCAGCCAGCTCTGGGGTGGGGCACAGGGACTGTGTATATAGGGACCCCTCGTCCGGCGCTGGGATGCAGCCAGCTCTGGGGTGGGGCACAGGGACTGTGTATATAGGGACCCCTCGTCCGGCGCTGGGATGCAGCCAGCTCTGGGGTGGGGCACAGGGACTGTGTATATAGGGACCCCTCGTCCGGCGCTGGGATGCAGCCAGCTCTGGGGTGGGGCACAGGGACTGTGTATATAGGGACCCCTCGTCCGGCGCTGGGATGCAGCCAGCTCTGGGGTGGGGCACAGGGACTGTGTATATAGGGACCCCTCGTCCGGCGCTGGGATGCAGCCAGCTCTGGGGTGGGGCACAGGGACTGTGTATATAGGGACCCCTCGTCCGGCGCTGGGATGCAGCCAGCTCTGGGGTGGGGCACAGGGACTGTGTATATAGGGACCCCTCGTCCGGCGCTGGGATGCAGCCAGCTCTGGGGTGGGGCACAGGGACTGTGTATATAGGGACCCCTCGTCCGGCGCTGGGATGCAGCCAGCTCTGGGGTGGGGCACAGGGACTGTGTATATAGGGACCCCTCGTCCGGCGCTGGGATGCAGCCAGCTCTGGGGTGGGGCACAGGGACTGTGTATATAGGGACCCCTCGTCCGGCGCTGGGATGCAGCCAGCTCTGGGGTGGGGCACAGGGACTGTGTATATAGGGACCCCTCGTCCGGCGCTGGGATGCAGCCAGCTCTGGGGTGGGGCACAGGGACTGTGTATATAGGGACCCCTCGTCCGGCGCTGGGATGCAGCCAGCTCTGGGGTGGGGCACAGGGACTGTGTATATAGGGACCCCTCGTCCGGCGCTGGGATGCAGCCAGCTCTGGGGTGGGGCACAGGGACTGTGTATATAGGGACCCCTCGTCCGGCGCTGGGATGCAGCCAGCTCTGGGGTGGGGCACAGGGACTGTGTATATAGGGACCCCTCGTCCGGCGCTGGGATGCAGCCAGCTCTGGGGTGGGGCACAGGGACTGTGTATATAGGGACCCCTCGTCCGGCGCTGGGATGCAGCCAGCTCTGGGGTGGGGCACAGGGACTGTGCAAGGCAGCGGGGTCCCTTGTGACCTCCAGCTCCAAGGGGGCGCTGCTGGGGGAGCAGGTGGGAACCCCAGCGATGCCGCAGGAGAGGGGAGTGGGGGTCACTGCAGCGAGACTGGCACGTACCCACTTGTCCAAGTCGACACCCTAGAGCGTCGGCAGAGGGGTGGAGAAGCCCAGGAGAGAGAAAGGGAGAAGAGAAGAGATGAACCAATTGCCTGCCGGGGGGCAGGGCCCCCATCCAGGGCACTGCTGCCCCCCACA